GGGGGGGGGGGGGGGAGGGGGAATCTCCGGAAGCTCCTGGGGGGGTGGGCTGCACTCACGCCCACTTCTACATGGTCCGAGCCTCGATCATCTTGCTTGTGCAGCAGTTCAAAGTAGTACCTCCGGGAGGCCATGAGCCTGGGGATGCAAGGAGCCTGGGTTGTTGCCCCTGCCATGTCCAGGAACCCCAAACAGACGCAGAGCCCAGGGAAGGGGGCAGGCAGCTCCCGTGCCCCTCAGGGCTGGTCCGTCAGGAGGACAGCGGCTTGGCAGGATGGTACTTGTGCAGTGTGTGCGAATGTGCATGGGGGGAACCATCACCCAGGCTCCCTCTCACACACACATGCATGTGTGCAAACACAGAGGAATCCGTGCACACGCACCCCCCGTGTCACTCACCGCCTGGGCTTGGACACCTGGGAGCTGAACTTGGTGAATTCTCCAGGCGCTGTCCATTCGGAGCCAGTCTGGAGGGTGACACAGCAGGGCTATGGGGGTGCACCCTCTACTTGGGGGTACCAGCCCCATCAAATCTCCATTCCCGAGAGGCTGGAGGGGACAGGTGACTGAGACTGCAGGACACCTGGTGAAGACAGGCGGGAGGGCCGGGCGGTGTGGATGGAGGGGCTGGGGTGGGAGGGCAGAGCCTGGGTCAGGGGCAGGGAAGTACCTTGCCCACAAAGGCCACAAGCTGGGCGGCCGCTGGACTCTCATCCAGGCTGAGCCAGAGCTCAGAGTTGTCGTCTGAAGCCACAGAGAACTGGACATCTCCTAGGCCACAGGACAGGGGGCTCAGGGAGTGGGGCCCTTCATGACACCCCTCCACCAGCGTATCCCCACCCCCGCACCATCTCTCGCTGGGTGGATGAAGCCAAAAATCCGGAGTCCATAGTTCTTCCACTTGGGGGACACGGCCAGCTTCTTCACAGTGGTGCGAGTCTGCGGGGGCAGAGACCGCTGATGCCAAAGCCCACTACGTACCCCCGCCCAGCCCGTCCCCTTGCCCTGGCACTCACGTGAGGGAACAGCGGGAAGTGCAGGTTCTTCCTCAGGTGGCCCACGGCGCCCCCACACCAGTCTTCAAACACGTGCAGGTTCACCTGTCCCTTGTACTGGGGGTCGGAGGGGGCCTTACCTTCTGCGCAGCCCTGCCCCCCACCCGTCTCCCTGCCCATCACAGGCAGAGCAGAGCTCACCTCCTCCCGCCATGGGGGCGTCTGATGGGTGAGGTTCAGGGGGGGTGGCCTCCCAGCCCCTCCAGGAAACAGCATGTTTGGGTCCCGACCTTCGGGCTGCAGGAGAGAAGGTGCAGGGAGGGGTCACACAACCACACACACACCACATCCAGACCCAACCTCACAAAGACCTTTCTGCAGAGATGCTTTCAGCATCTAGCCCTGTCACACCAGCCCAACCCCACTGCACCCTGAGCACACACACTCGCGTACCTCACCACACTTGCCCAGGCAGACACTCCGCCACCCCTCACAGTGACACACATGCACCACCTACGTCCACCCAGACCCGGCACTCCAGGCGGGGATACGTGTCCACGTGTGTGCCATGCCTGTCGCTGGAGCATACAAGGACAGGCCATGCCCACATCCGCCCACAGACAGGTTCCGGAGGCCACTGGTGTACACTGGCTGCAGGGTGCAGGGTCACGTGTGGTCCCGCACAAACGTGTCCCTCCCCTGGCCTGCTCACCACCTGTTCCTCCTCACGACTCTCGCTGGAGTCTTCCACCCTCTGCGTGGACGGTGCAGCACGAATGCCCTGGCTGTCTGTCGCACCGGTCAGCTTCTCGCTGTCTGCAGGCAGCATACGAGGTGTGTCTGGGGCCCAGGATCTTTCGAAGGCCACAGCCCCTGCTGCTGGGGTCACTTGGGGATCAGGCACCCCCATACTACATGGAGGAGCCAGGCAGGAAGTCTGTGGTGCCTGCTGCTGAAGCCTCTCTTTCCTGTATCTGCCCCTCGTGCAACCAGATGCCCCACATCTGGGCAATGGCTCTGCCCCGGCCCTTTTCCTGCATCCCACCTGTGGTGGGCAGGCCCAGCCGAGCCCTCTACCAGGCTGTCCCCAACCCCTGAGCTGGTGTGAGGGGGCAGAGCTTTGTGCACATGCTGGTGTGTATGTGCACTCACATGCACACCCAGCTGGCCATCCCTGCCAAGTGGCTCTGCCTTGGGAAGACCCCAGGACTGCCCTGTGCCCTCAGCACTATCTTGTGTCCAGGAGTGTCCTGTCTGCCTCCTTACCTACCAGAACTGAGAACTAAGGGTTAGTGCTGGGGCTGGTGGTCAGGAACGTGGGCACTGTCGTCCTGAGGCTAAGCCAGCTCTGGCCCCGCATCTGTACCCTCTGCTGCCTTTGAAGCCAGGGCTGAGGCAGAGAAAGGACAGGCTCACTGCTCTGTCTGCTGGAGGACCTGGGGCTAAGGTGGCTCTGGATGGAGACTGTCCCCCTGGGGAAACTCTTCTCTGGTCTGCCTGTGGATATGTCCACTGCCTGTCCCCCAAACCTGGGGCAGATCACCCCTGCACCCCAACCCTCTCCACTTCCCTGAACTGTGGACCTGAACATCCCACTGTGTCCCCAAGGAATTCTGTGCCAGGGGATCTGAGCACCAAGGGGAGGCTTCACTTTATCCCAACTCTGTCCCTCTTGGTGCTCCCACCCAGGGACACCCACTCCAGGAGCACCCTCTGCTCAGGGCCCTGCCTGGGCTCCGACATCTGTGCCCATCCCTCAGTCCAAACCTCAGGAGCTAGAATCCTGTACAGGCAGGGCCGAGACGAAACCGGCCTGGGCTCCTTCTCCGGGGAGAGAACCTGCCTGCCCCCCTGCACCTCCCTCCAGGGCCTTCCCCCAGTCCCTCTGTCCAGCTGGGGGGTTAGCCCCTCACACGCTCCAAATCCCCACAGCTTGGCCCAGAAGCTACAGCCTCCCAAGCTAAGTCCAGGCACGTGGGGCTGTTGGGATCCTTCTGCAGTGGGTCCCAGCCCAGGCTGCCACCACTGTCCTGTGAGGCTGAGCCCGTGCACAGTGTGCCCAGGCAAGCCTCCTGGCCCCACCCTCCCTCAGGAGGCTGCTGGACAGCAATGTTGCCTCTCCAGGTGGAAGGGAAGACCACACCAGCCAGACAGTCAGCTTCTCACAAGACCTGGCGTGGTCAGAGCCCAGGTAGCTGGACAGGATGGGGGGCTTCAACCCAGAGCCCAGACCCACATGCAGCCGATCTTCCAGCCGATCCTCCAGGACCCAGAACAGTTCCCACCCACCCAGGAGGAGCCAGGGCAGGTGGACCAGTCCCCCAGCTTCCCGGCTGGTCCAACTGAGAGCAGAGGCTCCTCAGAAGTGGGATTTCTGTGCCTCCACCCCTGCCTGGGTGGGCTCAGACTCCTCAGCTGCTCAGGCAGTCAGACCAGGGAGAAGTGTGGCTGATGGGAGAACCACAGAGGCGGCCAGGAGGGCACTGGTTTTGTTCTGTGTCAGTGGGTCAGCTCTGGGTCCTGCTCTACCTGCTGATAGCTAGGGTGGAGGTAGGGCTCCTTTTAGGGACTGAGCAGTGCTGGACGGCACTTGAACATGTGCAGCTGTGGGGTGCATGGGTTGGGACAAGCCCCAGACCCCGCGCCTGGGGTCTGGTGAAGAATCTGTGGAGCCGAAAGTCCAGGCACACGAAGAGGAGACAGAGGGGCTTTGCCAGGTGGGAGGCAGGAGTGGGACAAACAGGGCTGTTTGAATCCCTCAGGTGGGGCAGCCCAGGATGTCACGAGTCAATGTCATTGTTCTGAGCCTGCAGGAGGTGAGACGCCCCACCCCGCACCCCACATCCTCAGGACACCAGCTTCCTTGAGAAGCAGCCTGGCTGCTGCCTGCCCTGCCCTTGGTGGGGCTTCTGCTCCTGCCTGGGGTGTTTCCCTCCCTGTACTCCACCGTCCGCCAGGTTCTGGGGGCCGGTCCGCCTCTTCCCACGAGGCTTCCATCAGTGCTTCCTAGGACTGGGATGCTCTGCCCCCAAAGCTGTGTGTCAAAGGTCACCATCTTCAAGGGGCCCTGCCTCAGCCGCCTTCCAGGACCTGATGTGCTTTGTCTGTGGTTTCTCATCCGTCCCCTCTGGAGCTGAGCCGAGGAGCATGGCAGAGTTGACTCCCGGCAGTTCGGGGCTCCCCGTGTTGGGGCCCCATGGCCAAGTCTCGGCCCTCAGAACACTGGCCTCTCCGTCCCCAGTCACAGGCTTATCTAGGGCACCCCCTCCAGGAAGCGTTCCAGCTGCACCGGGCACTGCCCCCACCCGGCTCCGGCGTCTGGGGGCTGGATCCCTGGGCGTCCCTCCGCCACCCCCGCAGTGGGGAAACTGAGGCCCTGCTAAGTGGGCGAGTGGTGGCGGTGGGGCCCGACAAGGCCTCTAGGAAACCTCAGCGGGGGCCGGGGGCGGGGATCTCGCCAAGAGCCCCCCGTTAACCCCATCGCTGCCAGATCCTGGAGTCGGCTCAGGTCGGGGACGCTTCCCGAGAGGGTCGCGCACGTCACTGCTGACGTCAGCGGGCGTCCGGGCCCCGCCGAGCTGCGCCCCCTCCTCCCACCCGCAGAGCTGGCAGGAGCGGGCGGGGTCTCCCGGCCGGTCCCGCCCGCGCCGAGACCCGCGCAGTGGGAGGCCCGGGCCCCCGCCCCGCCCC